TCGTCGGTAATAATTATTTTCCGATGCATTTAAATCCGTCTGTAATACGCGATTTTCTTGTAGTGTTTGAATCAATTTTTGAGTAGAAACCAGATTTATATGAAAATTGGAAACGAAAAGAATATCACAAAGAATTAAGGAATCGACAATATAACAAGATTCGAGATAGAGAAGTAGAAACTTGAATAACATTTAACAAAGTAATGAAAATAGATGAAATAGATTTATGAGTAACAAAACTATGACAATCAAAAGTGATATTATCAATGACACATGTATCCAGAAGTCACTAAAAAGATGTTTTACCTGAAAAAACATAATAAGTTTTATGAAGAGTGAAAGAAGAATTAACCGAAAGAATGAACACTAAAGTAATAACATTTTTAAAAATGGATAAAGTGATTTTGTTGTTGCAAGAGTTTCTTATTATAATTTAAATCATTAAATAGTTTTTATAGAAGCTTCTAAGTTTAAGTACCGGATAAAATAATTTAAATTTAAAATTTTATATGATTAAGTGTTAAGAAAATTTCCTTACTTATTTACATACTATTCATAATTAGCTAAAATTGACATTTTCGCTGGAAGTGTTATAGGGCATTTTTTTTATCTTTTATAAAAATTGTCTCAATTAACTTTTTTTTCTTCAAAATTTTAATAAGCATATTTTATTACTTAAGAATAATTTTTAAATATCCTTTTTTTTTATTCTTCCTTATCACTTAACTCTTATGGACGAATTAGTATGTTAAGATAAATAAATATATATATATATATATATAATAAATATTTATATTATTTTAAATTATGAATAAATCTATCCTTTCATCTCAAAATATTTAATATTTTGAATTAAAATGAATTAGATCGAATTTATATAAAAATTATTAGATCGAATTTAACATAATTTTTAAAAAAATATGTTTTTATTAGTAATATTCAAATACTTGTTTTTTGTTTTAATTTTTTAAGATATATTATATTATTGAATATTTAAATAATTTAATATTTAAAAAATATTTAATCAATATAATAATGGAATAAATTTAGTAATAATCATATTATTATTGAATACATTTTGTTGAATGAGTTAAATTGAGTCTTTGACTTAACTTACAAAATTTGTCATAAGAGATTGAGATAAATTATTGGGGTTAAATAACAAAAAATTAAACTTATTTTAGTGGATTGAATAACCCATTAACTATTAAAATAACACAGGAGTTTAAGAATATAATATTATAGATTTTACCCATTAATAAAAAAGATGAAAAAAGAAGCCATTTGAATAAGTGAACACTCAAAACTATTAATTCAGTTATTAATCAAATATTCATTTATAAAATTACTATAAAATATTAAAAACAACGGGTATAAATATATCCTTACAAAAATCACTTTAAGTAATTTTTACATAATTCTCTCTTATTATAAAAGTGTATCATATTTATTATTATTACGATTATTATTATTATATAAAAAATAATATATTTAAACTAAAGATAATTTTAATATTTTTAAGATACTTAAAAATAAAAATGCCACTCATCATCTATAGTGCCATAAAAAAATTATACTAATTTATAGTAACCATTCACATCGTTAATATAAAAATCTTGTTAATTATGTTCTAAAATTAATAATACGATATTATAAATTATTTGACTTTAAATTTGCAGTTTTAATATTACTTAATATTTTAATAATATGTAATGTTTTTATTTATGTTATTTATTTAGTAATATTATTGAATGTTTTAATAATATTTATTTTATATGTTATTATATTGATATAAATTTAAAAGGATTATATAATTTCATAATTAATGCTTATTATATTAATAACATTATAGATTTATATTCTTTTTTACTTAATTGATATCTACAAAGACTTCTGAAACTTAAGTTTGAGATTGTGTACAATTATTAAGATAAAATTAATAGTGGATTTTCACCATTAATTTTAAAGAGATAAATAATATATTATTAATAAATAATAAATAAATATAAAAAAGTGAAATAATATAAAAAATAATAAATTAAATTTATAAATAGATAAGTATATATATTTAATGATTATTAAGTTTGAGAAAAGTTATAAAATTTTAGGTTCATATTCTTCACTTTCCAAGAACTCCCACTAACTCAAACACAAATTCTTATTGACGTAGTTTCTTGAGAAATCTAATATAATTTGCATGCTTGTAATCGTAATTCAGATCGAAAATTATCGATCAAAATAGAGGAACACTTGAAAAAGATGTTCATGTTGGGTTTTTCAAGGGTTGCAAGAACATAAAGGCGTGATTATGTCATGTTTAAGGGTGTTTGAGTAAAAGTAAGAGAACAATGACTAGTTTATCATGGAATATGACGAGTGTGGTCTCTAAGTAAGATAGAAGGTGAATGGAAAAAAAATACAGATAAAAAAAGGTTAACAACGATCGTTAATTAAGTAATGTTTAATCAAGATGAAAGATAAAAAAGTGAAAAGAATATAAAGTACTATATAAATAATACGTCGTTATATTATTTTTAAATAATTGTTAAACTAGATTCACACAGTATTGGATATTCATGTTAATCTTGCAAACACACGTGTTAGTACAAACATTTTATTGGAAGCTCTGAACATCTTTATCAAATTTCATTTTTAAACATTTCGTAGAAATATGGGTGAGAGTATAACAAAATTGATTAGGTCTAAATAACAAGAGTTTGTTCCTAAGTGTTAGATTGGTAGAGTATAATTTCCATAAAAAGTTAATAAACGATGTTACAACGTAAGTTTCCTTTCTTTCTTTTTTTCTCATATTTTAGAATACGAACTATCTTATCTCAAAATAAAAAATGGAATTAAACAATTTCATCCATTGGTTGATGATATACAATCGTAACTACGAAATGGGTATTCACAATTAAAAAATATATAAAGATGATGAGAATGAAGGAGATTTGTAAAAGTTGGTAGATATGCAAAGTGGAAACTAGCTAGGATTGTTAGAATAATGATTTGAGAATCAAACACTAAGAAAACAATAAAGAAGTTGTCCTCGTAAACATAGTACGATGTTAACAGCATCCACCTACCGCTTAATAAACAAATCAATGATGATACAACAAAGCTAATGCTTTAATCGTATACTAAATATTTTACTCTTTATTTTAAGGGAACCTCCAATGACAAACACTTTCTACACAGCCTAAAGTTCAAACTTAACGAAATAATATATGCCAAAATATGATTAGAGAAAGGAATAGATCCTCTATGTCTCAAAGCGATAGCGTCTCATATACCCCACTAGAATCATACAAAAGGAAAATCTAAATGTTCCAAAATCTCTCTAGCATCTATCTTATGTCTTATTGGGCATAATTCACCTAGCCTTAGCCATATTGAGACACCATAGGTGCCTCTTCATGAATAGAGGGATTGCCAAAAATTCTTTTTATTACCAAAATACTGAGAAACCCCAAAAAGGAGGAAGAAGAGATGACCCAAACTATGGTTTTATTAGACAGACAAGTTTGTCCGCTCGATGAATAGATTAAGAATATTTCCTATACATTTTTGAGGATCTCTCACTTTAATTTTCCCTTCAAACGTTGCTGAACATTATGGATTCTCTTACCGACAAGTTTGCCTAATTAAGTACTTGATTCGTGGATGTAATAGCTTCCAGGCACTTGGTTAAAATTTAATTAAGTACACCTAATTGTTATTAGTTCAACATAGAATGCACGTTTGCAAGAGGGTATGGTGTGGTATAGACTTCCCAAGATGGCAGAACCTACCTAAAAGGTGAAACAAAGCAAATTGATGACATATTATGAACAAGAAAGAAAACTTGATTAATTCAAAGTCTTGGTAACTGGTGAGATTAAATAGGATCATGTGCATAGGTCACAAATAATAATAGAGCTTAGTCATGGAGGAATTAATTACATTGTCTGCCATTAATAATTTCCCTTCACTTGAAAAGACAGCACTACTGCATATATATATATATATATATATATATATATATATATATATATATAAACAAATATCATCAACCAAATTGACCAAGGTAACGGTCAGCAGTTAGCTATGGTCTTGATGGGAAAAATCCCTCCCAAAAAAACTTGTCAGTGGTCTGATGCACACAGCTGATATGATCAAGCCATATCATTCTTCTCCATCCACACCATACAACCAGAAAGTGAAGCAGTAAAAAGTGTCAACTTGAAAGAAAAAGGGAAACTGAGAAAAACAAAATTTATTAAAACTGTGTCTACGAAACCATTAATGAGCATCAATATGAGGCACATATCGAAGACCAAAATAATGTAGAAGTAGTCATGGAAGATGTAGGGAAGGGACTGGCTACCTATTTTATAGTTTCAAACAATTAACAACATGGAGCATTGTATTTCTAGAGCGGCCAACGAGTAGATATAATTGAACCATTCAAAGTAGGAAATTAAGAAGAAGACCCAAAAGTTGAGAACTGCAAATGATATATATGATAGAGATGTATATATAGTCTGCAAGTCTAATAAGCTTGACATATATGGATGATATAAAAAGGTACATACATACATACATAAAGAAAACCATGAATAATGCGTTGCTTTTGGTTCCTCACAGTAGGGAGGATGGCCTCCTTGTATATTCATTCATTCATTCGTTCATTCACTTCCACTACCACTTTTTAGGTACCCCCACTAGCAGTCTACTCCCAGTACCACACTGTATTCTTTAAAAGCAGGTTCATGATATATCCCTCATCTTTAACCTTTTTTTGTTCCTGCCAGAGCAAACAGGATAAAACTACAAGCAGCAGTCTACATGAACTGCTACTAGAAAACTTTTTGCTGAAAAATCATGAAAACCCTAATTAAATTAAATATACTACATAAAGTAGAGATCGTAAATAATGACTGGAAAAGCGTTGAGAATAGAGCCAGATGAGTGGAATTTTCCACGGAATGAGCATAGCTGCATAGCCATTGACAATCTTATTGAGTTGCACCTGGGGGAGGGAGGTGATGGTGGTGATGGTGGTGGTGATGAGGAAGAGCCAATGATTGTTGTTGTTGTGGAAGTGGTGGTGGCGGTGGACGCTTTCGTTTCTTCTTTTCATAGCTGATCCCTCTTGCTTTGGACTGAAGTTCACGAACCTCACGAAGGTACAGTCTCACAGCTCTTGCTCCAAATGGGTTGATCTCAGGCTTCCCTCCGTTTTCTTCATAAGCTGCCCTGAGACGACCTATGAGGGCATCAAGGCTACCCCAGGCTTGTCTTAGAGGACATGGACATGGTGCTGGAGGGTTTGGGTGCCCGTAAAAGGGACAGATCGGAGTGTGCACTTTGGTCTTGCCAAATTGGTCCAAGTACCTAACATCATAATAACAATTGAACAAGAAAAAGAAAAGAGAGAGAGATTAAGGGAAAAGGAGCATGACATGGTATGTTTAGTCCTATATACCCAGGTACTCTCAACCTGGAAGATAACAAATATTTTTTCAGAGATCGAAAATTCTAAACTATATGTTTAGAAAACAAGATTCTCTGATGATTTTCATACGCATGAGTCTAAAGATCGAATTCCAGACTACATGCTTAAAGAAAGAAGACTATCTGCAAAGTACTGTCATATGATGGTATGTACAATATATGTTTGTACCTGAGAAATTCAAGGACGTGTGCACCGCTGCACCTGGAGAGGGAGAGAGGGGGTCGGTGATTCTTGAGGTACTGGCCAAAGGTGTTCCAGTCACGGCGCTTTTGATTCTCGTAGCGGCTGCTGGTGTTGGGGGAAGCAGAAGGGGAATTGGAGCTACCAACTACTAAGCTGTTGCTGGTGGCGGTGATGGTGGTTGTGGTGGTGGTGATGTCAGAGTTACATGAATCCATAAATTCTTGAATTGAATCCATAGCCAGACAAGAACTTGACCCTTTGGCTTTGCAGATCCAAGGTTGTTTTTGTCTCTTTACCACCAGGGTTCTTGTTCTAGGGTTCCTAAGACAGTGACCAGAGTGAGTGAGTGAGTGAGGGGAGTGAGGGAGTGAGTGAGAGTGAGGGATGAATGGATGGATGGATGGATGGAGATTAGATGGGATAAAAGATTACTATACTTATAATTTGGGAAACAGTGGTGGAGCAACGCTGTTCTTCAAAAAATATTCTTTTCTAATAATGTCTTTGCGTTTTAGAGGTTTGTGTTAAGGAATACAACTACCTTGAAAGAAAATGAAAAGGAAAGAGGGAAGGAAACAAAGTTCTGAATCATGATTGATACTACAGATTTCTATTTTTTTTTATTTTTTTTATTTTTTTTTGGAGAGAGAGGATTTGAACCTCCAAGTGGTGAAGCAAAGGAAGATTTTTCTTTTTTTATGTTTGAGGATATGACAAGATTGATGGGAGAGTGAGAGGACTGTTCCTCTTTACTATTTGCAGTTGCAGTTTTTATATATTGAGTAATACTAAGGCTACCCGGGGCAAGGTTGGTTTTTTTAGCAGTTTTTGAATTCAGGGATCGACAACATTTTGGTTTTGTTTCTCCTTAAAAGGGTGGTGCAAATTCAGAGTTTCATCACTTATATTAATGCTTACATTAATATTCCTGTTTGTGTTGTAAGTAGATAGACATAGAGAGAAAAGGGATAGATGGGGTTGCTAGGGCTTTTGAAAAAAATAGGAGTGTTGTACAATGGGTTTAGAGATAGATGGAGACAGAAAAAAGTTTGAAGGGTAAAAATTGAGGTAATAACATGATTCTGTTTCTCCACCTATACCTTCAACTTTGAATGACAGTTCCTTACCAATTTACTATAATGCCCCTATTAATCTTCCCCTTTTCACCTTTCCATTCCTAAAGAACACACAAACTTTAATTTCTTATGCTCTCGTGTCTCCCTCTTTCTCCTTCAGTATATGGAAATCAAATTCTCATTTACTCACACAATTTTCCTTAAAACCACACTCATTTTCAGTGTTTTGCCAATGAAACTTTAAACCACACTCATCAATGGCTGTATATATTATTTTTATCATGTATTAGTTTTTCAACAGTTTTCTTGCGTTTGGATTAGACAGGGCTTTGAATGAAAGGAAAAAGAATAGGAAGTGAGAAAGAAATGAAAAAAAAATATAGGTGATTTGATTGATGTAAACGAATATAAAAATATATAATAATCATTAAAATATTCTTAATTAAAATTATATAAATATGAATTAAAAGTAAAAAATAATTAAGTGAATAATTATTTTTCAAAATTTGAAATATTATTAAATAAATATTTAAAAAAATAATTATAAATAGTTTTTTTTATTTCACATATAAATTGAAGAAAACTAACATTAAAAAAAATAATGATATGTTTTAAAATTAAAATATAATTTAATCTAAAATCAAATTTAAAAACATATTACATATTATAAATTTTAAAAATTATTAAAATTTTATCATATGCTTATAAATTATTAGTAAAAATTTAATTAACAAAAAATAAAATAAAAAAATATTTAGAAAATATTAAAAAATAAAGTAATTTTTATTTTTTATTTATTTTAAAATTTACAAATATCAAGAAGAATAAAAAACAAAAAAAAATCACATAAACGATTACAAAATAACACCTCAATAGTTTCACTTTTTATCTGATTTGATTTTTTTTAACGAAGTAAATTTTAAACATATGTATATAAATTCTTCATAAACACTTAAAAAATAAAAATATTTTTTATGAAACAAAATAATTTATTTGTAAGTTAATTTTAAAAAGTTAACTCGTATTATTTAAAAAATTTAACTTATGAAATAAATTAATTTTAATTTATGAAAAACATGATTTTTTTTCTTATTTTCTTTATAGAAGTATTTATAAAGAAAAATATTAACATTTTTTAAATTTAATTTATTATAATAGATTTAAAATTAATTTATAACTAAAATATGTATTTAGAATTTAAACATTCAAATTAAATCAAATTTAATAAAATAATATTTTTATAATAAAATAAATTTATTTGTAAGAATAATTTTAAAAAATAAAATAATTTTTATTCTAATAAAGACTTAAAAATGTAATAAATAATAATTATATTTAAAAAATAAAAATATTATATTTTTGATACAAAAATTATATTTTAAATAAAATTTTAAAAATTTGTATCTTTTATTCTTTATTAAAACCGGTTTAACCTAAAAATTTAGTTATTTTATTAATTTTCTGATTTTATTACTAGTAATTAAAATAAAAATATTTAAAAATAATAAATTAATTTTTAAACCAATTATTGGTTGGAATTGGGTCCAGTTTTTAATACAGTATGGTTTAAGATTTTTCTCATTTAACTTTTTTGTCATGCACAATAATAAACTTTTAAGCAAAAATTTGAAAATGTTTACATGTTTCTTAGATAATTTTATTGAAATTAAATTTTACACACAAAACACCGTATTGAAAATGCTAAATTTACTTCCCCAAGTTGGACTATGTTCTTTTCTAAAATTTTGTAAAAGATAATAAAATCTTATGCATACTTGTATCATGGATATGCAAGTTGCTGTACATGATAAAGCAAAAGGTTACTAAAAGTCATTAAAAATATAAATTATTAATATTTTTATATATAATTTAATAGACATGGAGCATATCAATTAGATAAGAAATAATAAATATCATTTTCATATATAATAAAATTATATATAATATTCTCTTGTACTCTTTATCTCTCCATGATATTTCTTAGGTTTTCAAAAGATGTTAAAATAAAGGGAATTAAAAAAGATAATTTGTTCGAATCAAGCAAACAAATTGATGAAAATATTTCATCGGGGTAGGATGTGTTTAAATATATATATATATATATATATATATATATATATATATATATATATATATATATATTAGTATCGTATAAATAAATATAATTCTTATTTTATTAAATGGAATAAGATACGCATTTTATAATTTTTAATATGATATCAATTAATTTTATTTTTAAAAAAATCTTAAAACAAAGAGCAAAGAAAAAAAAATTTCAAATGAGAAGATGATAAAATATCACATTAGTATACAATAATATTATAATATGATAATAAAATCTCGTATTAATTAAATATATAATAATATTATATATTAAATCTATTAAATTTTTTAATAAATATAAGTCTTTTAAGATAAGCCTTGAAATAACTAATAAAATTAAAACACTTTAACTCTTACATTAGTTTTAAATTCAATCCGACAAAATAATCCAATACAAATTTATTTATAATCACTACTACGAGAAAACACTTTCTACGACAGCATACAACGTCGGCTATCACGAACACCGACGTTGTACAAGACGCGGTGGCAAACTTGTAATTATGAGGCAAAATTTAACGTCGGTTACATAATAATCGACGTAGTAATCTGCAATTCAACGTCGGTTATATTATAACCGAGCGTTGATTTTGAAATTCAACGTCGGTTATATTATAGCCGACGTTAAATGTTTAAATTTAACGTCGGTTATGTATAGCCGACGTTGAATTCCAAAATCAACGTCGGTTATATGATTTACCCGACGTCGAAGCGTTATCCACGTCGGGTTTTTAATAGCAGACGTTGAATGTCCTTTATACCTCTCGCCTTTCGCGCTCCCCTTCGTCTGCCTCTTCTTCGTCCCACATACTCCCTCCTTACGCTTCTTCTTCTCGTGCCTCGAGTCCTCACTGCGCCCCTCGCCGCCCCCTCGCCGCCCCTTCGCGCCTAGTTCGCCGGCCCTCGCTCTGCCTCCTCGCCGCTGTTACCTCATTCGTTGTGGTCTGCTGCCCACTCGCCGCTCACTCGCCGCGCTCTGCCCCCTCGCCGCTGCTACCTCCTTCGCCGCCCACTCGCCGCGCTCTCATCAGGTTAGATTAAGTTGCATGGATGATTTACAACATGCATTTAACATAAATATGAATTATTTAGAGCATTTCCTGCGTATGAACATTAGAAAGATGATGGATGATTTTGTATATATGGTTTGATTTGATCTAGGTTCGTTTAGGTTTCGAAGTGGTATATGGAACATTAGGTTTCGTTTAGGTTTAGGTTTAGGTTTAGGTTTAGCTTTAGCTTTAGCTTTCAAAGTGGTATATGGAACATTAGAGCATGTATGAAACATTAGAGCATTGTTAGGCAATGTACACGTTTTTTTTGTATTGTTTTGTTAAACCTTTTCTAATAAACCTTGAATATCTAGGCAAGCCTTCTTATGTAGTTAGATGGATCGAACTTGGGTCAATACAAGTCGTATGTCAGAAGAGTATGAGAATGGAGTTGACTCCTTTTTGAAATTTGCCGAACAAAATGCTCCCAAAATGAATGGAAAAATCTACGCCCATGCGTTAATTGTGTAAATGGCGAGTACAAGAGATGGACACAACGCGGAGCATCTTATTTGCGATGGGATGATGAAGAATTACACAATATGGACATGGCACGGTGAAGTGGTTCATATTCCAACGAGTATCACAAACTATTGAGGATGATGTAACCTGCGAAGATCGAATAGAGGACATGCTTTGTGATGTGGGTCAAGAGAGGTTTCTTGAAGCACATGCATCTATATATGATACATTGAGGACCGATTCGGAGACACCTTTGTATCCGGATGTACAACTTTCACACGGTTGTCATACGTGTTAAGATTGGTCAATCTAAAAGCCAAATTTGGTTGGAGTGATACAAGTTTTAATGAATTACTCCAACTTTTGAAGGAGATGCTCCCGGACAATAACACCTTGCCGGACCGTATGTATGAAGCGAAGAAAATACTATGTCCGATGGGTTTAGAATATAGGAAGATACATGCTTGCCCTAATGATTGTGTGTTATATAGGAAAGAATTCTCATCTTTAGACCAATGTCCAACATATGGTGTATCACGTTAC